CCCCCCCCCCCCCCGTAATAGAGATGGTTACACTGCAGAGATATCATTTTGCACATTACAAAAGAGACTATACCGAGCTCTTCAAGCACTGCACGCACCCCGATGGCTGTTTATAGACGTGCGCTGTGCGCGAGAGCAGCTTTTACACATGAAGAAATAATCTCCACCTGGGCTCCAGTTTCTTTCTTACCAGCAGCAGGAGACGAACGAACAATGCAGCAGGGTTCAGCAGAGGTCACCGTGTTATTCTGTATCAGTAGTCCAAAAGGGTTTGCTTTATTTTCCGAGTCAGGCGCCAAGCGGGCATGCATGAATAATTAAAGGCTGGTAATATGGAAACCTATCCGCGAGGGAGGAATTGAAAGTGTTTGAGGAGACTAACCTCACACCGGCCAGAAAATAGTAAGGATTTGTTTTCAGTTGGGTAAATGGTGATATTCTGGTGGAGGAGTCGGCCATTACCACACTTAATTTACCTATTGCCCAGTTTTCTATTAAGAAATATGCATCTGCTGATCTTCATACTTAGTGTTTCAGAGATGTTTGCCGCTGTTTCAAATGAAGGCCTAGCACTCCTTTAGGATATATCACCTGCCACCTTTCATGCCAGAATTTGAAAATGAGATTATATGGAGAAATGAAGTTATAGTAACAATAATGAACTGTAATCTCTCACAATCTGTTAGCAGTTGGGAGTATCTGTAAATAACCACCAGCTACTACCACAACCAAAATTTGTGAAATTCACTGTCATAATTATTTTTGCGTATAGGCAAAGGTTGATTGGCTGTGGTGGCCATCTTGAATTGGGTCAACTCCCAATAGTGGATCACTTTTAGACGTACAGCCAAGTATTACTCTTGAGAGTTTCACTGAAATCCTTCCATTGTCTCATGAGGTATTTTGGTAGAAGACAGCCATGATGGATTTCTGCCGGCAATGCTCAAGTTTTTTTTGTGCTTAAAATGAATGTTTGGGATGATGCTCAGCTACCACACCAAATGTCAGCTCAATATCTGTAAAACTGGAGAATTTTATCTAGTTAAGCCAGTTGATGCGGAGTCCTTTTTGAATCGAGTTATTTAATTCCCCGGGCGCTTGCATAGCTGCCCACTGCTCCACCTGGGTATATCTCACATGTGATGGGCGAAATGCAGAGAACTACAGTCATTTCATCATGGGAACATAGAATGATGGCAACATATAGCACTTTCTAGATGCCAACCTAATTACATTCTGAAGGTTTTAAATATTTCCATTCAGTGGTTTATGATATTTTATCAACAGCCTGGATGTTGATTTCCACAGTTATTCACAACGTTTTGAACACAGATCTGATAGTACTCGGATTAGAAATAGGGGGTCAGTCTCAGCTACTACCACAACAAACTTAAACTCAGTATGTGTAGGTAAGAGCCATTTTTGTGTCTGCCAAGATCACTTTGCTGTGGTGGCCATCTTTAATTGGATTTTATCCAGATGTTAGTTACTCAGATGTCAATCCAATGATTACTTTGTGGAGATTTCATTAAAATTGATTTCATGATCCATGTGATATTTTGCTAAAAGACACACATAGATACGTATAAATACAGTACATCACCTTTTTGTCTTTCAGCTGCAGGTGATGATTACAACAAAACAAATTAGAAATGGGCTCTCACAAGTTATGAGCTTTGTTAAAAGTTATTGTTGTGGGATTATCATGATGAACACCCCAAACAAAAGGTGAATGAGGAAACTCCCCGGTCTTAATAAAAATACCATACATTATCACTGAAAGGTGAGTCAGTGCAAACGAAGTGTTACAGAGGGCAGTGAAAGCTAACTGGAAAGACTGGATCTCATCTTGTTTTTCATGTTAGTGGAACCACACAGCAAGTGCCATACTGGTCCTCTGACCACAGCTTTAAATCCTGAACAGGCTTTTTCCCCCGTTCATGGCAAATCCAGCTGTTCTGATTCCACATCATCTCAAGTATACAGAAAAACAGTCTCAGATAGTGACTGGATGTTACACAGCTGGATTTACGAAGCAAAAAGATCAGGGTCTTAATGTTGTGGTTTGATGGGTTTTAGTACAGTAAGGTTCACTTTGCATTTATACTGGATTATGATGATTTATTTCTCAGTTTTGTAGCAAAATGTCTTCAGTTTTGACAAACACGTTGCTCTAATAGAATTGAAGGAACTGGAATAGTTTAGATTTCCTGTTAGACCGAATGTGAGATCAATCTCATTTTTACAGTAATGATGCTACGACCCCGATTCTGAAAACATTTCTTAAGTTTTTTTTTGAAAACTTATATTAAGAACTGCATCTGATGAGATATTGAAAGTAATCTCATTTCCATTATTTTTAGATAGTTTTTTCACAGACTGGTGAACCTCTACCCATCTTTACTTCTGAGACATTAAGCCTCTCCATAATGCTTTTTAATACCCAGTTCTCTTACTGACCTGTTGCTAATTGACCTCATTAGTTGCAAAATGCTTCTTCAGATGATTCTCGTTTGTACCTCTTACTTTTATAGCCTTTTGTATCCCAACATGTGCTGCAGTTATAAAACTTAAATTGACAATTGTTTTCCCCCAAAATGGTACATTATTTTTATTTCAACATTATGTTTGTTTGCAAATAAAATATTGTTTTATGAGATTTGTAAATTAGCATTTTATTTATATTTTACACAACATCCCAACTTTTTCCAGATTCAGATTATTTAATATAAAACATGTGACTAATTAAAACAAACCTTGGAGTTGAACAGAACCTTTTTCCTCTCTGTAACTTGATAACCTTCTGCAACAGGAGGACTGCTTTTCACTCCTCGTGAGAGAACTACCTTCTTTCCCACATTAACATCCTCTCTACTGAGCCCCTCCGTCTCCCACCTGCCTGCCTCTCCTCATATCCCCATTCACAGCTGGCGACCATTATCTTGGAGCGCACCTGACCCCTCACCCTCCATCTCTCCACCATGCTACCTTTGTGGCAGCGACATACGAACCCAGTCATTCTGTGTAAATGCACTCTTTCTTACATAATTCTTCCACTGGCCTTGACAAACAAACCCTTTCTTCCCTTCTTGTAGCTGAGAAAAAGAGGTTACAAAAAAGCGACTTTACCCAGAGAGCATTTTTTGGTGAAACTAAAACATTGCTCTTGAAGTGCCATTCATTAGAAAACAAGCATTGAGGATATTTGTGTAAAAATGTAACAATGAAAAGAGCATTTCTTGAAGAAATGCATGTTAGTCATCACCTTGCCATGCCAAAGTTTTCAACAAAGATGCTGTTAGCTTTCGAAATGTGTTTTAGGAATGACTCTGAGCTACTAATACACCAGATTTTAGGTCAGTATCTGTAAAACGAACGGAGTACAAATCACTAAAAATAGTTAGCGTCAGCCGCTTGTCCTGAGCTGGTTCTGCTGGAGGTTTCTTCCTGTTATGAGGGAGTTTTTCCTTTCCACTGTTGCCTTGTGCTTGCTCAAGATGGGAGACTGTGACAAAATGAAGACTCAATGCAACCTGTTGGCTACCGTACACAACTTTAGATAAATAATGTTACAAATTGAATTTTTATGTATGTGAATGTTGCAGTTCAGTGCCCTGCGTTAACTTCTGTTGTGACATGGTGCTATATAAATGAATTGAATCTGCAACTGATTTGAGAGTCACTCTAATTCAAGATGGCTGCCACAGATAAACAACCTTATCCACTATGAAAACAGCTGTACCTCAATCTGTTTTACAGATATTGAAATTAAATTTGGTTTGGTAGCAGCTCTGCGTCTTCATTAACTCATACTCTGACTTCTGTCATTTTCACCACTTTTTTTGCCTAAAATGTAGAAAATAACTGCTACAGTCACAACTGTCTCTCTCTCTCAGAAAACTATGATCAACAATTTTAACTAATTTTTCAGAAAGTAATCATTGGATGCACATCTATAAATATAAATATAAATATAAGGAATCAAATCAATACAAGAGGGTGTCTAAAGCTAATAGACCATGACCAAAACAAAAAGGTTGTAACTTACTCAAAAGTACAGATGATGAAGTAATTAAAGTCATTCCCAATACATATTCCGAGCTTGAACACATCTCACTAGATACATCTGCGATAGCCATCTTGAATGAAAGTTTTGAAAGATGGCAGTCACTGCATGTTGGCCCAAACTATAAAGTGGAATTATAAAATCAAATAAATTGAGATGAGGATGT